TGGCACAGCTGCCCAGGGCAGTCCCCATGCCTGGAGGGATTGAAAAGCCCTGTGGATGTGGCACTTGGGGACACGGGGCAGTGGCAGCCTTGGCAGTGCTGGGGAATGGTTGGACTCGGTGATTTTGGAGGATTTTTGCCACCTGAATGAATTCTGTGAAGCTCTGGTGTCTCCTCACTTTCTCAGCAGAGAACTCTGGGGACAACTGTCTGAGAAGCCAAACTGGATGTGGGGCAATGAAAGGTGGAATTGCAGCTGGAGATCACAGCTTGGCTGGAAACTGCCCCAGCAGTGCACAGGGAGGGCTCTGACCCCGGCAGCAGCTGTACCCAGGAAAGAGTCAAAGTGTCTTTAATGCTAAGAGAACCAAGTAAACATACATATTACAGGGGATTTAAATCTTCAAATCTCAGGCTTTGCTGACATTAGCTTTCTTACACAGATTTTATGACAAGAAATACGAAGTATTTTTGAAGCTTGTGGAGCACCAGAGAGAGTATCGCTCCATCATGAACAGCGTGTGATCCAGAGGCTTGGGAGCTGGGAACAGCAGGCAAATTTTCAGGCATGTGTGATACGGGTAATTTCTTCTTACTGTACTGTCCATGTTAAAAATATCCTGTTATCATTTAAAGTATACATTTTCATTTTTAATGAGAAATAAAATGCAGTCACTTTACTGTGAAGCACTGGGTATTTTCTGTCAATAATCCCTGCACACAGAGACAAGGAATATTCATTTGTTCCACTCAGAGAACACAAGACAACCAGTTGCAGGTACCCACGTGCCAGTATTTGGACTGGCAGGAACAGTACAAGGAATAACATGATTCACTCAGATGGACTTGAGTACAGGGAGTCAATATTCACATAGATGGACTTTACACACTTAGCTTGAGAAAAATTCCTTTTTTAGTATTGGCCTAGGTTGCAATTCCCAGTTAAATGCAAACAGGAGTCACACAATAACAAAATTACACTGGGGTTATTTGGAAAATAATAGTTGCTGGCTTTTTTTTAATGTTCAGCCCTGAAAAACATCTGGTAATTTTTTTAAAGAAACAATGCACTTCCTGCCTTGTAGTTGATGGAAAAGCAGTTGTTACCCTTTCCAAAGTACCCATTGTCAGGAGAAACAGCTTTGCAAGTTCAGGGACATAATTAAAGACAATGAAAGCTGATGGGAATAAAATGATGAAGCTTCTTAACAAAAAGAGTAAAACAAGCAAGAAAATTACTCTGACATAGTGGGGTGTCAAAGCTCCTAACTCAGGGGCACGATAAAATCTGTCAGCTGAAAAGACAGAGTGGGAAAAAGCAATTGGAGAACAGTGTGTTGTAACCAGTAAGTATTCATAAATCTTAATGTCTCTATTTTAATATGCAATTAGTGTGTTAAAATGAAGTCCACAGAGTCCAAATGGATAACAAAGGTACAGGTTGCACAGGGACAGATGTGCAGGGTTGGCTGGCACTGCACCAGCACTTTCACCTCTTTGCAGCTCAACAGAAACAATTTCAGCAAAGTTTCCATAAACTTCCTGCTATTTATATCATTATCCTCAAACTGGCCTCGATTTCTCAGGCTGAACTGGGAGCAAGACAGCACGAGGGGTGTAGGGAGTCAGGAAAAGGAACAAACAGTCACACTGCCTTGGTGTAAAATGTGAATGCACAGGCTTCAAGGACTCTCTGTGCCTTGTGTGGGCTTGCACGACACAGTTACAGAGATCTGTTCACACTTCCTGCATGGCCTTTAATGCCTTCCTCCCCTTGTGATACTTGTACTTTATAGCTGCATTTTTGTTCCAAGCCAGTGTGCCTACCAGTTTCATGTGATCCATTTTAAAACCAGAGCTGTGAGAGCTCTGTATCCCAGTGGCTGAGAAATCAGCTGTGATAACACAAACACTGCTGCAGGATTTTGCAGTGAGACTGCCTGGCCATCCTTGTGTTATACAAGACTTAGCAAATTGTTCAGTTTGCCAAGTTCTCAAATTAAAATTTAATTCAAATTGAGCCAAGAAGTAAAATGTTGAAGCTCAAGAGTTCTAACACTCTTCAGCTGCATGTCGATGGGCAGTGTAATGTTAAACTCTGATTATGGCTTGAGGCATTCTTGTGAATCTGCCCTCTGAGGGCTCCACACTGAGTGCCTTGGCCATGCCAAGCGCTGCTGAGTCCTTCAGCCCATGGCAGCAGCACAGTGACAAACCCATCCCAGTGCCCCAGTCCAAGAGAAGCCTCAGTCACAGCTTGGGGAAGTTTGGCCAAGGGCCCCAGGTGGGGTCAGTCAGGCCCCTGAGCTGCAGACCCTGCTATCCTCACCCCATCAGGTGCAACTTGCTGACAGATTTTTATCATGCAAATTGAAAGAAGGGAAGCAACCACCATGTCATCAGTTGCTCCAAGAGTCCTGCAGAGAGGCCCAGGCTTTGCTCACATGGAGAAGACAAGATATGATGGTTCCAAAGAAGCAAAGAGCAACTCTTAGGGAAAAAACTCCATGAGACCTACCTGGGTGAAGAGTCCTCACAAGGCAAGAGTCAGGAATGACAGCCTGTCATACAGGTAACCTGCAAACTGAATGTTGACATGAGATTGGTTATTTTGTATTCTGATGCATTTCAGTTCCACGTGTCTCTTAAGCACTTTGAAAGTTAAAATCTCTTGAATGCAGAACCTTTCTGTGCTGTCCAAATGCCCCTATACTGTTTAGTCATGGTACAGTATCCAGAGGAATCCTTCTAAAAGGGATCCCTGCTGCCCCAGCCCTTGGAAAAAAAAAGGATTCTGCTTGGCACAGAATCTTTCTGGGAACTGGGATTCCAGCATTAGGAAAGGGCAGAGCCAGTGTGAACTGTTTGGATTTGGCAATCCCTGGGGAAAAATCCAGCTGCTTTCTGCTGGAATCTGATTTGAAATTTTAGAGGCAAGTTAAAGTCCTGCAGTTCAAATCTGAGTGATATTTGAAAGGTCCAGCCTGAGCCTCTCTAGGTCTGTTTTTTAATTAACCAGGCTTTTCATGGAACACTGTGTTCTCCTCCCTGCCAGGGTGACTGCAGGACTTCTCCAGGTAAGAATTCCAGAAGCACCTTCACTAGAAAGCTCTGGATGCAGCAGCATGGTAACATTCCACCACAATATTGCCAGTACCTGCATCAGAAGGTAATCACACAAAGGTACAGACTGGTTTTCCTTGCTAGGTCTGTTTCAATCCATTTGTTATGTGCTGCTCACTCAGTAAATGCTGATTTATAAACACTTAGGGGTCGAGGTTGTTTCCTTGGCTTATTGCTTTTCACAAGAGGTGTGAAAAGCAACACAGCTCCATAATAAAGAACATTTTCCTTTTTTCCCCTGTATCCAGCCTCCCAGTACAAGAAGCAACCTCTGACTGGGGCCTGGTGAGATTAGGAACTTCCATGCTGCTTTTTGTGGAATGTTACTCCAGAGATTCAATAAACTACACAAAAGCAAAATGCTGGAGGCCTGTTTGGTATTTCACAGAGTTGTTTGATCTGACATGTGTCAAATGATAAATGCAAATGGCTGCAGGATCATTCAAGCCCAAGTGGGTTTTGAAATGCTGTGGGAAAATTAGAGGATAAATAAATCTGATCCCAAGAGCTCAAGCTCATTGTTTGGCATGTGTCAGAATGCAGACAGAGGTAAATATTACCTCCCTGCAGGGAGGGCAGGTTAGTGCTGCTAACCAGGGACTGTGCCTCCAGTAGGGGGTCACGAAGCAACCTACCAAACTAAAAAAAAATGAAGATATGCTGAACATATTGGAGGTTATTTAATGTTTACAGGGAAATTGACAGGATTAATAAACCCTCTTCTCCAATGGACTGTGAAAATGAATGTGATTATTTATTTTTAATACATGCTTTTCCTATGCAAAGTGGCTGTGCAAAAATGGAGCCTTTGCTCTTCTACATTGGTATATGCAGAGATTTACAGATCAGCTAGGGGAGGGTTTCCTTTCCACAGCTTCTTTCCCTGTGGATCTTACTCTGGAATCTCCCTGGGTCATGGCTGTAGCCCTCGGGAATATGGGTGCCCATGGACAGAAGCATTGCACTCTGGAGTTGTCCACAGTGGCTTCCAGGGCCAGTTATCCCAGATAAACCAGCAGGCACAGCCAGGAACAGCTTGTACCTCTGGAAAAGCCAATTGCCACATCCTTTTTTACCCAGACTGCTGCTGATTTCCATGCACAGCATAGAGCGAAAGGGGGCAGACTGTGAGGACAGTAAGATTAGGCTGCACATGCAGTGACAGCAGTGAGTTAGTGCTGGTCAGAAAACAGGAAAATTGAATGTCAGGGCTGGCACCACCAGCTTGTACAGCAAAGCACAAACAGCATCTCAGCAGAAGCAGCACAGCTTGACTGGCAGCTCCGGGGCACAGCGAGCAGTGTGACAGGTCAGGGAAATAAAACCTCTCAGCATTTCAACTGATGCAACTTGACAGGGACCCCAGTGAAAACAGCAGCACAACACTGTGCTGCCATTTTGATGGGATTGTTTTGTTGAGCTGAACAATGATCTTTGTTCTTAAAAACAGCCAGTGAGGAGTTTGTGAGCTGTGCTGTAACAAGAAGTCTCCAGGAGCCCTCAGTGCAGGGGTTCTGCACCCAGCATCACCTCATCTGCTGCCACTCAGAAAGGGAATTTGAGACAAACCATGTTTGAAATCCAGAAAAAAATTGTTCCCGATGCCATGAGTTACATCATGTGTACAAGGGCTGGGAATGTGAAATTTGGCCCAAAGGTATTTTTATGAACCTCGCTCTGACTTGTGCTTTTTACTCATTTTCATTTGAGTGCAGGGTTTTTCTTTGTGCCTCTTGTGTTTTGTTTGCACACACAGAGTGTTTGGCTGAGCCCACAGCTGTGTTTATTCCTAAATCCCCATCCAGTCTGTATGAACCCAGTCTGGCACTCAACTTCCAGCTTCTCCTTGAGCTTTGTGTTTGACACCCCCTCACCTCTGACTGGCTTTGGCTCCCTGGGGTGGTGGATCAAAGTCTGGGGATCCCCACGGCTGCAGTGCTGGGCCTGGGCTCAGTCCCAGCGAGGCCAACAGGGCACTGATGGATCCCAGAGTCCTTCAAGGCCTTTCACAAAAGAATCCCATGGAAAGTAAGATTTGCTGCATTCAGAATCCTTTGTTTGGTAGAACAGGAAAGGAAGGACTCCTCTGAAGTTGACCTATTTGTGCTTCAGTGAATTTTTCATAAAATTGACAAAATCCTGTTTTAATCTATCCCACTCCACAACCTTCTGAGGGACTCTGTAGGTTTCTCTAAAATACCTCTGTGGTTATTGTTAATTAGAAAAAAATAATATTGCTGAAGGATCGCTTTTCAGTTGAACTTCCTGAACATATGGTTCAAACTGAAGCTGAAAAGGAAAACTTCAGGACAAACTGTATGAATTACTACTAATAATAAAATCAGACATTTTTTATAAGTCCACATTAATCTTCTTTAAAAGCTTTGGGTTAACCACATTTTTTAAATAAAACTTTTACCGGAGCGGAATTTATTAAGAGAGCTCAGTGTTGCCTTAGCTCTGTTCCACGGGGCATCAAGAGAAGTTTTATTACTGATTTCAGTCACAACAGACTTAGATCTACACAGAATGGTTTTGATAAGCCCAATGTAAAAGTTTTATTG